ATCAGCCTCCCAAGTGCTGGGATTGCAGGTGTGTGCTGTCCACACTGGTGAAATCTTCCTTTTTTTATTTATGAATAAAATTCACTTTCATTTGAAGTGTGAATTGACAGAATGTTGCTTGTACTGGCAAAGGAGCAAACTTAGAGTCAGGGAATCAAGAAAATAATCCTAAATTACAGTGGCATGTATCAGATAAGAAACAGTCTCTCTGGACATCTCCAGAAATAATTCATCAATATTCTTACCCTACATAATTCTGAAGCACGTATTACCAAATAAACACATAAAAATAAAGCCTGGGTGTACATCTCCACTTCAGTACAGTCACAGTCAACTGAGGACCTCTAGTGCTTTGTAAAGCGTACTCCATCTTCGGGGCTTTTTAAAAAAAAAAAATTAGATTCATTCACATTAATTGGGATATACTTATTAAATGCCAATCATCATTCCCTAAGACATCGCCCAAATTCCTTCTCCAACTCTCCTTTAAAAAAGTTCCACATATACACAGTTAAAAGGAATATTTTAATGCAAGTGAATTAACTGTAAAACTTTATTTCAACATGTAAAGAACTGAAAGTAATGAAGACAAAATAACAGCCACATGCCAATTTCAGAGGGAAATCTCTCTCTGTGCTACAGCTTAATGAATTGTCCTCAAGGCAGAGCTTAAAAGCTAGGACACTGCATTTTGGGGGTCAAGTTAGTATTAAGGAATATATTGATTTTTATGTTTATATAATTATTTTCATAACCAGTTAGAATCAGCTTATAGATTCAGAAAGCTGAATCTTTCCTTCTTTCAATTAAAAAAAAAAAATCATAAAACTCTATCTTGAACTTGATTTTTTTTTTTCTCAATTTCCAATGCCTTCTTTGAGCAAAAGAGAAAAGACTTGATAAATTCCCCAAAGAGTAAAAAGTTAGTTATACCCTTCCTATACTAGAATATTAATGGATCTCACATACAAACAACATACTCTGTGGGTACTTTCCCGTTTCTTACATGCAACTCAAGAGACAAGGATCTGGTATTCCTATAAACCAACTTCTATCAAGTAACTCACATATTTTCAGTACTACAATACTAAGATGTGGATTTTTTTTGGGGGGGGGTGGGTGGGTGTGGCAGGGAATATTATCAGGGATTTAATCCAGGGGCACTTAACCAGTGAGCCACATGCCCAGCACTTTAAAAAAAAAAAAAAAAGGTGTTTTTGTTTGTTTGTTTTGTTTTTTTTAACATTGCTTAGGGCCTCACTAAGTTACTGAGGCTGGCTTGAACTTGTGATCCTAGTGCCTCAGCCTCCTGAGCTGTTGGAATTACAAGGCATGTGTCATTGCACCCAGCTTGGATGATTAATCTTTAAATGCACCTGCAAATATTCTTTCTGTCACAAAGCACCCAATATATACCTACAGTCATTCTTTTAATAAAGGAGGCGGGCTCTAAATTAAGTTCTGTGCATGTTTACAATAAAGTTGACAAGGGACTAAATTCAATCTCCTAGGCCATTTAAGCCAGATGCAAGTTCAGAATGTCCCAGCAGAATCTGATTATCGTATAGAGAAGCTTTAAAAAGATCAGATAACATAAAATTAAGCCATTTTTCACACTTTCCATTAAATATTATGCTATTAATAGCTTGGCTATAATTAAGGGGAAAAAAAGAGGACTTCAAGATTTCAAAACTTATAGGAGAGAAATCGGTGCAGAAAAAAATAATAATAATAAACACCTGACAACTATGCCATAAATTATAATGTAGGTAACAGATAATTCAAAAAATGCAAATATCCAGTTCTCATACACAGTCTTTCAATTCTCAGGATATATAAGAAAGCCCTATCTTCTGGCTTATTTATTATCATGCAGATTTTAGAAGTTCAGCAGAGTTAGAACAACACATCAGATTATAACACTATAAAATAAATTGAACACTCCAAATAAAATATGTACCACTAACATTTCACAGCATGTAAAGCAAATTTAATCGTAGCCTAAGATTATAAAGGTTACTACATATCACTTTAGAATTGTAACATTAAATGTCTAAGTTCAACAAGCACTATTTGTTTCCAGGACCAAACTCTTCTTCAATAATAGTTGGCTGTTACAGTATCTTAAAATCATCTTTAAAATACATTAATTAAGGGCTGAAGATGTAGCTCAGTGGTAGTGCATTTGCCTCATAAGCATGAGGCCCTGAATTTGATCCCTAGCACTACAAAAACAATAAATTATTAAAATACTACAAAAACAATAAATTATTAAAATATATTAATCATACTTTTGTAAGTAGAGAGCTCATCTCTTTAGGGTGTAACTCTTTGTATTTCACAAACACCAAAAACTCATTTTTTTTACACAAAGCCTAGTTCAAGTTAATACTGTTAATCAGAAGACCATACATAAACATAGATTTAAATCCTCTAAGTCTCATTTTCTTCATCTGTGATTGGAGGAGACTTGAAAAACATATTAGAGCTTACAAGTTTAATTACTGAATTCTGTTTTTCTAACTGGTTAATCTGATCATTGAGAATCTTCTAAATTTTTTAATCAAAAAAAATCTTCAACTTTATTGATTTAATCAAACAGTGCTAATTATGCATTGAGTGCTAAAATACAAAATGAATACATGGTTACTTTAGTTATTAACTAAAAGTCTAGTTGAAGACATTGATATGTAAACTGAATTTACAGACACAAACTGACAGATATTTAAAAACAATAACACTGAAGTCCTACTAAAAACCAGCAGAGGTGATTACCAATTCTACCTTAATGAATAATGAAAAGTTTTATTAGGAAATGATATTTAAACTAGGCCTTAAATATCAACTGGAGTTTGCCTGGCAGAAAACCAAAAGGTGGAAAGGGGTAGGGTAGGGGTTGAGGGCATTACAGGCAGAAGCAAAACAACATGTGCAAAGAATGAAAAATCCTTAAAGGAAATATAGTATTTATGGAAACATGACATATTTCATGTGACTGAAGTATCATTCTTCAGTCAGAATAGGGATGATTCCTTATATATGCTTTATGACGAACTGCTAGCTAGCTCCCTCTTTTCCCATATTTTGTTTATCTTAAAATAATTTTTTAAAATTGATGTTTTAAGACCAGTTAAAAGCCCTGAAACTCCACAAAAATATGTGAGTTCAAATAGGAGTTATCAGTGCTAATTCTTCTCAACTGTATTCTGATATATATATATCTCCAAATATATAAAAGAATAAAGAAAATCCTCCAATGATTTCCTAATAGTATAATTTCACTAGGTCTACAGTAATTCACTACAATAAATCCACTAGATATTAAAATAAATATAAGCAGAAATAACATAAAGTTACATTTTCTTAAAGAACAAAAGAAAATACCCCTATTTCTGCTTTCATCTGGAGAACTCAAACAAAAATAATTAAATATATGCCAAGTTTAAGCTGCCATTTTCCAAGTGGGAAATGTTTAGCCGGATAAGTTTAGCCACCTGCATTGAACAACAAAGAATGTATTTTAGACAAAATATAAGTTGCTGTCAACTCTTTAAGAGAATAAAGTTTGATAAAATTTGGCTTTGTATAACTCCTTACTATGGCCCTATACTATTATGGAGGACAGAGACTCAAGTCATATGGAAGCCCATTCTGTTATACAATTTAAAGTACTGAAGATTACAGAATCTAACCACCACATACCACATGGTTTCTTTGAAAAAACAAATGCCAAGGTCCAACTAGTTATGTGCCTCATATATGTCTTCCCTGTCCCATTCTTCTCTCCTTTGCTCTCTTTAGCATATGCCTCTATTAGGTTTAGGATGGCACTCTAGGTGGATTTTCCCAGAATGTCTAGAAACCAAGTGAAAAATGAAACCTGGCAATATAGTAATAACATGTTAACAATAATGTGACAATAAATGCTAACCATTATCATTTCTGGACAGTTAGCTATATTTTCTTAAAAATTTTAATCTTTCCTACTTCAAAATTGACATAGAAGGGCTGGGCGCAATGGCACACGCCTGTAATCCCAGTGGCTCAGGAGGCTGGCACAGGAGAATCACCAGTTCAAAGCCAGCTCAGCAACTTTGCAAGGCCCTAAGCAAATCAGTGAGACCCTATCTCTAAATAAAATACAAAATAGGACTGGGAATGTGGCTCAGTTGTTGAGTGCCACTGTTTTAATCCCCAGTACCCCTCCCACCCCAAAAATTGACATAAGGATTCTGAATGAAAACAGAAAATTCTCAAATGTTATTACTCATTACATCTGGACAATTAATTCATACTTAGTTTTTAATCTAATTCATTCTATGATATATTTTTATTTTTATTATCAAAGCTTAGGCCCCACAAGCAGCAAGAGATTGTGAGATTTCTGAAATAGGGCTTGACATAAACCACTGCTCATAAGTACAAGACATTTGTGAACAGAATTGCCCATGGTAGCTAGTAAGATAATAATAATTACTAAACCTATTGTGCTTGACAGACCTCAGTACATAATAACAAATTTTGTTGAAATGATATTTAAAGTAACATTCTACAAAGCTATAAAACCTTAAAGAGGAATGCCAAACAAGTAAAATATATTTCAGATTAAAATTAAGATCTAAAGAATAACTTTTAAATGCACTTCTATTCCCTGAGATTAGCTCTGGAATTTTTAATATATATCAATTATATTTACAGAGAAACACACTTAAGAATTTTTGCCCAAAGGATTAGCTCAAAACAAGCTGTACCATGACCCAAACACAAAGACAAATGAGATTGTAATGATATTATCCCACCAAAAAGACAAAAACACACGTATGCACAGACATACACACACATTATAGAGATTTGATGTTATAAATACAAAATATAGTGTTGAAAAAGAACAATTAATGCAAATGTGTTTTACCTATTCAGAGAACAGGTTATACATATGATCCTAATCCATTTACTATTTTTACATTCCAGGCTACCTAAAAGGAGACGGTTACCTCAGATTGGCTGCCAGCTTTTTATCTTTCTCTTGACCGCTTAAAACTTGACTTCCTGACTCCTGGCATCATGGAGAAAGTCCAATACCTCACTCGCTCTGCTATAAGAAGAGCCTCAACTATTGAAATGCCTCAACAAGCACGTCAAAATCTCCAGAACCTGTTTATCAATTTCTGTCTCATCTTAATATGTCTCTTGCTGATTTGCATCATCGTGATGCTTCTCTGAAGTTCTGCAGCAAACTCCAGATCTGCAACTTACTACATTGGTTTAAAATGTCATCCCATGAACAGGGGAAAACAATAGAGCCCGCTTCCCAAATAGAAGAATTTCTTTATGAAAAGGTCAAGATTAAAACAAATTGTTAGTAAATGTATTTGCTAGATCTTGTAAACATGAAAAGGGCTTCATTTTCAAAACTGACTATACATGTGTATAATGTAACTGTTGATTTCCTCAAAATGGCTTATAAATTTCTTTCCTAAATCTTTTCTGAGGATGAAGTAGGAGTTTAATTTTGAAATAGCCCTACTAACAAATTCACTTCATATATAAAATTTTAGCTTCACGATTTGGGGCAAATGTTATTTATATTGCACAGTAAAAGCTTCTTTGTAAGTATTTTTCAGGTCTTTACAAGTGCCAAAATAATAGTACAAATGAAGTATTATTATTCAAAATAGCTCACTGATCCTCACATCTATTACTGCTACTACTATTATTATTATTATTGTCACTACATCATTATTATACAGAAGTCTTGGTAGTAAAACTCCTTGTCAGAACCTACATTCTAAAATAGTTATATTATTTTCTATACTATATTAACATGTTTTGAAGTATAGGAGAATCAAATAAGGGTAAGACCATAATCTTATATAAATAAAATTTCAATAATTATACAATTCTACGACTTGTAAGTTAGCCATAGGAACTGGTGATCAACTTAACATCTGATAGTATGATTCCCATAATTACTAATACTCAGAGTCTAACTAATTTAAAGCTGTAGCAAATTATTTGAGCTATAATATCTAACTTTCCATAGTATACTCTTAAAATCATGAGAGCTTAAAATTCCTAAAATATGGTTACTAAAAGAATTTGAAACATCAATATTGACAAGTGTTGTTGGCTGAATAGTGAAGGAGACACTGCTTTTAAGTTCTTGGAATCCTGAGAAGTACTGGAGATAGAAAGGTGAACAGTTTGGGTTTGTGAATATTTAAGGAGCAGACAGTAAAAGGGCCTCATACTAGCCAGAAAACATATAAATCCTATTTTAGACCTCAACTTCACTGGTCTTAGAATTTACCTATGCAACAGTATCCAAATTCTATAATTAGCTATACTGATATTAAAAAACAAAAACTTGAACTGATAAGTTCTATGTGCTTTATTATATTGTTCATTACAACATCAATTTCAAACAATTAACTGTGGGAGTTTTACCTCAGTGAAATACAAATAAAGATTATTTTTGTTCTTTATTCTTTCATAAAAATTAACAACTCATATTGCAAAGATTTCAGAATACTATAATTTATATTAAAATGTAGAAAAAAATCCTATTCTTTAAATGAAACTCTCATTTTACCATGTTATATAAAGAACAAGCTGTAAGAAAACAATGTGGGGTTGTGGCTCTGTGGTAGAGTGCTTGCCTAGCACGTGAGGGGCACTGAATTCAAGCCTAGCATCACATGAAAGAAAGGTAGGTAGGTAGGTATTGTGTCCATCTATAACTAAAGTGCCAAAATTTTTAAGTACTAAATGTTCAAACACTTTCTCCTTTGGAATGAATTCTAATCTTAATTTATGGGACACAAAAATGACTAATTTTTGAATGTTTAATGCTGCCTTTCATATTTTCATTGGTTAAAAATTTATATTTAATGCAAATAATCAGAATCACCTATGTTAAAATGAATGTTCTTGAACTCAGTAAAACTGCTCCATTATTCAGAAATGAGGTTTGCTATAAAATGTTCTAATTATAAATAGTTTTGATACTGTAGAGTGTTTTTGAGGGGACTTTCCCCAAATAAAATATAAACAATTTCCTAGTATAAACACAAGAGGGCAGACCTATATCAGGTAGTGAATTGCGATGTTCTAATAGTCTCTTGATTATTTTTGAGTTTTCTAACAAAGTGGGAATATGATAAATCTCAAAATGGATCTACTTGTATGTTAAGTAGCCACACATTTTAAAATAAGCTATATGCCAAATTATATAGAAAAGGTGACAAATAGAAAATCAAACACATTACTATGTGTATATAAAAATCAGCTAATGAATGTGTCATAATTTAATATCCCATCTATAGAAAATGCCCTAATATCTACCAAGATTATATCAAACAGTAAAAAAAAAAGGATGTAAAGATAAAAAATAAAAATAAGAAAACTTAAGAATGTAATAAAATACATGAAACACTCCCAGGTTAGAAGTAAAATTTTTTCATATTTCATGTTTGACAAAAACAAAATCCTTTAGGTCATTTTGTCAAATTCTTGTATTTATATAGGAGAAAAACCTCCATTAAAATATGTTGAAATCAGGTGCAATACTTTGATTAGTAGCAAGTCCCCTTATGATTTAAATAAGCACAAAATTTCATCTTCCACTTTTTAATGATTTCAAGACCAAAATATCTCCGGGAATATAGAGAGAAAAAGGGATAAACAATAAAGACCTGACAAGAACAATTTTAGAGAAGGAAAAGTTTATTTGGGGGCTCACAATTCTGGAGGTCTTAGCCAAGATAGCTGGTTCCATTACTCAGGGCTTGAGTGAGGTGGAACATTGTGGTAGAAAAGTTTGATAGAGGAAAGCAGCTGGGAACAAGGGCATCCAAGAAGCAGAGAGAAAGAGAAAGAGAGAGAGAGAGAGATTCCACTTGCCAGATACAAAATATATACCCCAAAAGCATGCCTCCAGGGATCCACTTCTTCCAGTCACACCCTACCAGCCTTTAGTTAACCACCCTGTTAATCCCTGTCAGGGGGTTATCACACTGATTGGGTTAAGGCTCTCATAATCCAATCATTTCACCTCAAAAAACTTTCTTACATTGTTCTCACACATGACCTTCTGGGGAATATCTAATATCTAAACTATAATACACCACTACTTTACTACTATTGGGGAGATCCACTGTGGATGTGTAGGAACCCAACAGATATCCCTCTATCTCCAAACCAAGGAATGCACTGGAAGGAAAGGGAAGTATATTTCCCTAAAAGTCAAGAGTTTGCTTTTTTCTTCTGTCATAATGCTTAGAGTCAGTCATGGGGGTGGGGGGGAGTAATGGACTAGAAAAGAAAAGAACCAAAGACTAGAGGTAGAAGTTGCATATGGAGCCCCATATTCTAATCCAAATGGGGGCATATAGGCTTCTCTTCATTCATAAAGGGATATGCTTCTGAGTTCTATACGACCTCAACTCTAAGATGACTTAGCAAGAATCAAGAAAATCAATGAACTTATGTCTGTGTGGCTGACTCAATAATTGTTCTGGATTAAGTCCTAAAGAGAGCAAACCTTCCTTATTACAAATTAACTTTTGGGGGATAGTGGACCTGTGAAGAGCAAATGAGATCAACACTCTAAGAGCCGCCACAAAATTCTATATAATCTATTGTGTTATCAGATCATGACTTTAAGCCAAATTCCTTTTCTTTGATGTAGAAGATTTTTTTCCCATGGTGAGAGTTGAGCAGTTTTGACTGAAAAAAAATCATGATTATCAGATGGACTGATCCTTAATAAGGTTGCTCAATTTATGTAAAAACTTCACTAAAAGGAAGTTCAGTCAATGCTTAAAGAGATTTTTAAGAAATAATCATGAGGAGAACGTGTAAAATAAAGATAATACTTAGAGACACCAAGGAGAAGTTAGTTAATAATCTTTCTCTGTAGTAGACCATGAAAGAAATTAGAAGAGAAACAGTTGTAACAGAAGGGCCAGGAAATGTAGCTTCCGTGGTGGAGCACTTGACTAGCATGCATGACGCCATTTTGATTCCCAGTACCCCTTTTCCCCACCCCACCCATACCCCATAAATTGCAACTGAATTATCTAGCATTCTTTACCTGAATTCATCATTCCACTCTCAAATTTTAAAGTACTATATAAAGAGATCATCCTGTAAAAGGTTAATCAAGAAATAGGGCACTTTGGGACACATACACATTTCATGCAATAGTAGCTTCATTCTTCCAATATGCACAAGGAAATTTAAAGATCAATTTTTCTCCACAATACACCTCCAATCTCCCTAACCTCTCTACATTGCTTCAGAGTTAAAGAAAACCTTGGGTAAAGCAGACGTTCCTCCAAGTAGAATAAAAGGATAAGTAAATTAATATTCATTCCTTTAAATTAGCCCAATTTTCTCAGTTACATTTCTCTTTTATCATCCCTGTTTCAGTTTGGAGTAGTATGTATACTCATCCCCACAGCTCCAATTCTATGTAAAGACACCTGCTAGAGAGACAACTGTCTGATCTTTGTTCTTCAATAATCATAAGCATTTAAAAACTGTTATAGTATTTGAACAGTAAGGTATCCTATCTTTCTAATCACTTGAATAAATCACAAATAAATCTGGCTAAAGCACTCTTTTAAAATTTGTAATTTAAACATCCAAATGATGCATTGTTTATGTGGTTTAAATATATATAATCAAGATTATAAAAAATGGCCTACCAGGTATGAGAACCTGGGTTCAATCTTCCTGGATAAGTGATCTCTTTACTCTTACATGAACTTTATTCTTCATTTTTTATTGTTAGTAGTAATGAATAGTAATTTAAAATTTTAACTCTAGGGAAATTTTGTAATTTTTGATAGAATTCATTTCAGAAAATTCTGGTAATAAAAAGCAGATGACAAGATTCATGTTAGAAAATTGGTTTCCCGGTTAAAATTCCCAGTTGACATTTCAGATCAAGAAATTTATACATTTATGTGTTATTCTGTAGACCCATTAGGGACTCTACACTACTTTTTCTTTATATATTATATGACCATAAAGCCTTTTCCTTAAGCTGATTAAGAAACAACCAACACTTGATTTTTCTAATAAAAAAAAAAAAAAAGCACGTCTGGATTTATAAACCTAAACACATATCATCTGTAACCAAAACTTTAAAAATGACTTTAGTTCTACCTTCTCATTTAATAGATGAAGGAACTGAGGCCCAGAGAAATTAAGTAACAGGTTAAAAATCATCCAGGTTCTAAATCTGATAAAACCAGAAATAAAATCCAAGATCTAGTAATCCCAAGTCAACTTTCTATCACACCGTGTCAGCTTCTTTGTTTCTAAGTTTCCTAAAATACATGCTTTGCTTTATTTATTTTTATGCCTACTTAACAAATGAGAAAGAAAAGACTAAGGTAGAAATTTTAAGTTTTTCATGTTAATTAGTTCTAATTTCTTAGTAAGTTTTTTTAATCAACGTAAAACTTTTCAAATTTATAACATCTATGCTTCCAGAAGACAGAAAAGGCAAAATAATCAGTGATTGTGATGCTTCCTGCAAAGTGCACAACATCCACTGGAGGGAAGCAAATACTAGGTTTTGAGCCTTACCTGCATTGGTGTTTCACTTCCTTGTCGAAATTCTTCAATTTGCTGTTGTTGCCAAGGAGCTAAATTATAAGAGTCCTCCGTAGTTCTACCTTCCAAAGGGTTTGTCCTTAACTGCTCTGTAAGCCACATCTGAGTCCTCACAGAAGGCTGAATGGGAACTCCACTTGCTGCCTGCTGACCAAGCATTAAATATTTTGGAGATTCAAAAGCCTCTGAGCTTGTCATAATGGGCTTGCTCTCAGGTAAGGCACTGTATGTCATATCTAAGGTCTGTCTCTTAAGAGCAGAGGAAGAGGCTCTGAAGTTATCTTTGCTACAACTCTCAAATTTATACTTGCAATCCAAAGTTGATGACCGTTTTTTATTTATTTCCTTGTCCTCTAGCTTAAGCATCTCCATACTGTCATGTAAGCAACTAGGCCCAATAGTCCTTAATTGTGATGTTAAAGTCTTGCCTCTTCCTGTCTTTTCCAAACCATTCCTCAATTCTTCCTTGTGTACAGTGCTACCTTGGCTGCAGTTTTCTGGGGCAGTGAGTCTGGATAAAGATGACCATTTCCGAAGAGGCCGGAAGTCCTTCATGTCTAGTGAAGAGTCCTGCTCCCCCGTACTGTGGTCTCCCAAAGTTTGTATGAAGCTTGTACTCCATTTTGAGCCATCTGATGTTAATGATTCCCTATGTTTGGAAATTGAAGCGCTGGAGTTAGACGGCATCACATGGGCAGTGGGAAGAGTAACCAGTGATCGACTAGGCTTAAAAGACAACGGGCCACTTGAAGTTGAATGATCTGGAAAGAGAAAAGATTGCCAAATTAGTTACAATTAACAGATAAAAGAGAATAAGATAAAAGGCAAAATGCCAGAGAGAAATCTGAATATGGTTTCCCATCATGTTTTTTCAGAGGTATTGTCATGGGAGAAGAGAGATCTCCAGAGAGGGTCCAAGGAGTTCCCAGAGGAGAGAAGGAACTCAACTCAGGAGCACTGGGTTCTTGGCAGAGGTAATGGAAAAGAATTCCAGTATTAGCCAAAGTAATAGACAGAGGTTTATTTAGGAAGGTAGATATACTCAAAAGAGAGTGCAGGCTATCTCAAGAGGAAGAAGCCCAGACTTGGGTTGGGGTGAATATTTATAGAAGAGATGCACCAGAGGCTGTATGGAAGGTGAAGACAGGGTGGCACAATTTCACGCCAGTTTTCAAAGTGCATATGTGTTTCCCTCATTTTACAAGAGCATGGACCAGGGCATGGGCTAAAGACATGTTGCTCAAGATTTAAAACTGTGTTTTCTGTATCTCAGTGACTTGTGGGTGTTTCCTTCAAGATTCAATATTTCTCTCTCCTAATCCTAAATCTCTATCTCAGTACTTCCTCAAAAATAAGGAAACGGGAATTCTTACTATAGCTTCAGGTTTATCAGAAATGTTTAACACACTTTAAAAACATTTTCTAAATATGCTTACATAATAAAGTATAAGTAAGGATAAAAAATGATTGGGAAACATTTCCAGATTTATCTTATTTAATCAAAGTATTGTGCCTTTAAAAGAAACAAAATCCATCTCCACATTAAGAGTCTTGACTTATACTCTAACAGTTGCGTCTCAGACCCAACTCGAGGTGAAAGTGGTATTTTTTAGTCTCTCCTAAACTGTAGAACTTTATGGCAAATCTGAACTTTTTAGCACCTCCCCCAACTCTAATTCAGAAATGTGAATAAAGGAGCTCCTACAATAATAAGAAAGGGTCTAGGAAAAATTTGCAAAGACAGAGTAGTTCCTACATTTCCAATATAACTTAATTGTATCATCAATGATACAATCCCAAGCTAGAATCTTGGCATCTACTCCAATGCCTGTCTTTTTCTTTATGTTCATTAAATGCCAAGTTATAAATTTTTACTTTAAAAATGTCTGAATATCTATTGCCTTATTTCAAAAGTCCCTATATCATACTACTCTACACATATGAATAGTTTTACTATTGAAAGACCAGAAAACAAAAAGGGTCTCTACACTCAATGAATTTATCATAAAGAGCCAAATCATCATTATATATACCAAATTAAAATCAAAGATCATAATGTTATCAGGGCATATTTACAAATGGGACAGCAATCTGAATTGGTGGGAGGCTGGAGATGAATGGTAAAAGGCTACTTTCACATTTTATTCTATATATTTCTATATCTGTTTGTCTCCTATACCAGAGTATATCTAAATACCACTTCTGTGCTGTGATATTGTTTTATTAAAGAAATAAAGGTAAAATAAATGTTTATAATGTCATAAGAAAATGCAGATGAGTATGAGCCAGGCAGACTAATTTTTAAAGTGATATTCCAATTGGTCTTTGCACAGAAATTGTTCATCTAGAGATAAAAAGTGAAACATATTACAAATGGAGGGATATGAGCAAAAGTGTCAGAGTGAATTTATCATGTGTAAAGGGTGCCCATCAGATTCTGCAGTCTTTCCATTTTTTGGAAAGTTCTCACATTTTGAGTTCAAACTCCCAAAATAAATTTTAGAACTCACATTCCCAATACATCCTGCACCCACGATAAAGACATTCAGAAGCTCCCGCAAAACACTTCAGTTTGAAAAAATAGGCTCTAGGTAGAGTTAGCATTTCATAGCTGGTATAGGCAATAGCAAATGCATCAGTTTTCCACAAAGGCAGCACCAGAAGAGGCCCCACAGTGGGCACAAAATCATGTTTCTAAACAATAAGTGGCAGCAGTTGAGCAGCACTAGTAGATTCCTCTAGTGTTTGGTTGGCAGAAAGATTATTGTTCTTTGGTGTGATTTAAGGCATGTTACCAGGAAATTTAACCTAAAGCATGGTTATTCAATCCTCCCAGAAAGTCTATGAAGTACCAAGTACCCTTAAATAAATTCCTCAACTGTTCAATCAGCCACTCAGGTAGCTTCTGCTGCTGATTAAGAACAGGAATGATAAAAATATGATTTTTAGGAGAAGATGACTCTAAAAGAGGAAAACAAATTATCCCGTTTATCTACAATATGAAGTAAGATTCAAGGAAAGTTGCTCAAGGTAATTCTTGAAAGGTAAAGATGAAGTAGAACTGTACAAATCTCAAATGCTCTGCTAGGAAAGAGGTTTTGTTCAGCAAAAAATGTGATATCACTGAAAGTTTCCAAACAAAGGAATGAATGCCATGATTAAAGCTATACTAAAGAAAATTATTCCTGTAGTAAAGAATGAATTAAAGTAAAACAGCTGACAACCCGATAGATTAACAGAATATCATGGTAATAAGAAAAAAAAAAAGTAGACAGGAATATGCTGAGGATTGGTTCTAAATAGAAATAGGACAAATGTTCCCAAAAGTCTAAGGTATAATGTAAAAAGAGAAAACATCTATGGCAAATTTGTATTAATAGATTAAAGTACTGTTATATTTTACAAATATGTTTGTATAAACATTACTAAAGGAATATTGACTAAAATCACCATAGCCTCTTAAAAATATCTGAATTTTTTTAACAAAAAATGAAGACAAAAATGTTTAAATTCACTAACAACAAAAGTATTTCCCCACAACAATCATAAAATTATTAAAGGCTGTTAATATACTATGATGATAGGAAAATGTGACTGTTATGAACTTTGGAGATGTATGTATATATGTATATATCAATATTTAAAAGATAAATATGTATATGTGAATGCACATATATTTATATCTAAACACATATGTGTATGAGCAGAGAAAAGGTCTGGAAGAGTATACTCAAAATTTAATAAACAAAATTAACCGTTATGTAGTGAAAGGATGTCAAAAAGAGAAAGTACTTTTACATGTTACTTTATATAATGTCTTATTTTAATTTCTATAAAGGAACATAATTTTACCATTTGGTCAAACTTTTGCAAAGATGTTCTATGGCTTTGTATCTCAAAGAACACTGTAACTAAAGAATGAATAATATATCAAGGGACTGTCTCATTTTCCATGTTACAGCTAAAAGCACTGAGACAATCATCATCAGGCTTAGCTGCTATTCAGATGTGATAGTGTACTACTTTCCCATCTGCCTTCAGTAGCTCCGTATTTCCCAAATGCACATAAAATCAACAATTAAATGATAAATTCCACATCAGACTAGTATTTACTCCCAGACTAGTATTTACAAATGTGAGTGATTAATGCTATTCATAGAATATTACCTTGAGCACAGAATTTACTCCATTGACATTCCTTATTAGAAATTCTCAAATTTTGCTATACAAAAAACTAACTGGGAGAGGGGGAGCTGGAGTTGTGGCTCAGCGGTAGAGCGCTTACTTTACATGTGTGGGGCTCTGGGTCTGATCCTCAGTATCACATAAAGATAAATAAACAAAATAAAGGTATTGTGTTCCATTTACAACTGAAAAAAAAATTAAAAACAAAAAACTAACTGGGATCTGGTGACCTACATGAAGAAATTCAGATTCAGTGTAATAGAAAAGGACCCAAGAAATATCGTTTTTAAAAAAGTGATTCTGCTATTTCATCCACATTAATACCAATCATCTTGAAATCTTCAAACTTAAATATCATATCCCCAGTTCAATAATGATCAGTATCTGAGTTCTACAGTATGACTGTCAAAACTAAGGATCAAAGCTTAGTCCATTCACAAATACACACACACATACAAAAGCACACATAACACAAGAATAAATGAACAGGGAATCAAGAATTTTACAACATAAATGTCTGGAAAAAAAGAGACCATTATATCTTAGAGGTGAGTCCATAAAATGCTAATTTTAACTATTTTAACACATCAAAAATATTACTTTGCCCTAAGAAACCACAGTTAAAGGTAAATGCAATGCAATTCATAAGGTGTTTTAAGTTAACTAGTTGTTGTTGCTTTAAGTTTAACTAATTTAAGTAAAAAATTATTAGGATAGCATCTAGCCCACATTTAAGTTATAACAGTGAATTCTCAAAGGAGCAGAAAATAGTCCTTTTAAAAACCAAAGAACAGAGTCTGTAGTATTCACTAAAAGTAGAGAAAAGCTAATTGTTTCAGACAAATTTAAGCTAATATGGAAAGAATATAAGAAAAGGACATCAGAATAACCTGATAATATAAATGAACTATATTTAAGGTAACATATTTCTGAACTACAAACAAAATTCCAACCTTCTGTTTTACTGTCATGTTCACAAATTTTTAATTGTGAATACATTCATTCTATCTTCTCTTAAATATTGAGATACAGCTTCTTTCTCTCTATCCTTCCTTTTTTCCTTCCTTCCACACTCTTTTCAGCTTTATACTTTCTCTTGTAAAAAGGAATTAAATGCAAAAAGCCTACAATAGATCTATATGATATCAATAAATCATAAGTCTTTGCAGTTAAAAAAAAAATTAGGAAACTAGGGAAAGCGCTTGCCTAGCATATGTGAGGCACTGGGTTCCATCCCCAGCACCACATTAAAAAAAAAAAAAATAGGAAACTATATAATCCTGTATCAAAACATTCTCATTTAAAATTTAATAGCTTAATATATTTATCACAATACAAAATATTATGACAAATATTTTGCTTTTTAAAGGAACATGGTAACTCTAACCATAAAGACAATGATTCAGTTTTATAATTCCATGAAACTTTTTTCCCTTTCCTGCTAATGGCATGATCATACCATATCATACAGGGGGAAAAAAAACATACCACATTAACTGCCCCATTTTTCTTAATAAATTAATATTTCAAAGTATTCCCTATATCTTTAGGTCTCAACTGTGACTTGCACAGATGA